CAGATGATCTTTCCTGAGAGCAAATGACACCTTTCAGGCAGAAAAGCTTCATAGGTGCAATGACAGATATCCTCTCTCTACAAACCTCTCTGCTTTGCAAGACAACAGCTGCAACACTGACCTCCCAGAGCAGTGGGATGGCAGGGCTTGAGAGGATTACAGAAACATCCTAATAGTATTACCTCAGGCAATGTCATTTAAGGTGTCTATCACTGCACCATGACATCCACAGAGATTTAATCACATGACTGTCTTAGTCATCCAGGTAGTTTTCAGGGCCTATGATGGGCTGAGGAAGCAGACTGAATCAGGTGATGGACTGAAGGTGCAGAGGCTCTTGCAGCGTAAAGAAAACACACAAAATCCACCAGGAATGCACTGCAGAAAGTTTGCTACTCTTGTCAGACCTGGAAAAGTGAGAAGGCCCAGTACTACACAATAGAAGTGAACCTTGTGCAGATGAATAATCTTTTCCTCACAACTCTGTCCATTCTGCTGTGCTTACATGAATCTGTGCTGATACTGAAACATCACCATGAGGATTTCCACGGATACAACTCAAAGAAGCTGTGGCTGCCTCAAGTGTTCAAGGCCAGGTTGGATGGGGCTCAGAGCTACTTGGTTTAGTGGAAGGTGCTCCTGCCCATGGCAGGGGTTTGGAACAAGATGGGCTTTAAGGTCCCTTTCAACCCAAACTATTCTGTGATTCTGTATTTGGGTTAAGGACAGCACTGGAGATTGCTGACTATGAAGCACTTCCAGCAGAGGCTGACCCATGTCAAACTCTGCATATACAATTACAGGCCCATCAGAGTTGGGCAAGCCACCATTAACTTACCCAGTGGGTATTTCCCAGTCCCTGATGACAGACACTCCAGGCATGCTTCTTCTGAACTCCAATTCTTGCTGTGACAGGACACAGACCCTTTGGAAATGACTCCCGACTCCACAGACCTCCTGCTCCTGTGGGGCTCAAAGCTGGCACTGTGGGTTTTCTAAATCCATGGCTATGTAAAGGGTTCCACTCTTGCCTTGTCCCAGCAGGCACATGTGCTCTGCCACCCATGGCATGTCCTGCAGAGTGGCTGGCAATCTATTTTTCCAGCATGTGGGAGGCCCACGCCTCTCTGCCATCTACCACCATTCCTTTCTTGTTGCTTCTGAAGCAACAAGAAAAAAAAACAACCTGAAAAATAACTCTGAGTAAATTTAATGAAGCAGGAAACCCTTTGAGTAAATTTATTTCCCAAATAATGTGCTTACTGCTCTATCACTCTTGCTGTGTGTGACAGACACCCATCTTATCCCTCCTGCACTTCTGAATCTGTTCATTTGTTCCTGTTTTGGCTCTTATGAGTGGACTGCCCAGTTTCCACAAGAACAGGCAGGAAGTGGGAAATGGGGGGAGGAGGAAATCTAGAAAGGATTTTTAGATCATAAGGTATAGCAACAAATAGGAATTCTTAAGAAAATATTAATTCTACCCTATTAGGCAAAAGCTTAGATGAGTCTAATGAATGACAAAAAAAATCCCTGTCTGTCCCTGTCTGCAGGGAGGGCTCTGAGCAGGGACCAGGCTCTGCTCCAGGGCCCAGCAATGGGACAAGAGGCAAAGGCAGAAACTGATGCACAGGAAGTTTCACCTGAACACGAGGAAGAATTTTCCTGTGCACTGAGCAAGCACTGAAGAGGCTGCCCAGAGAGGTGATGGACTCTTCCTCACTGGAGATATTGCAGAAGCATCTGGATACAATCCTGTGCCATGTGCTCTGGGATGACCCTGCTTGAGCAGGGAGGTGGGACCAGATGAGCCACTGGGGGCCCTTCCAACGTGAACTGTACTGTGATTTGTGTGTGAAAACTTCCTTTTTCTAAGCAAGTGAATGTTCCCTGAAGCTAGCTAGCACTAGATTAAACTGTGTGAAAAGTGATCACAGCACCTTTTCTCCCAGTCTGTATTCTGGCAACATCTTTAACCATAGCAGAAAAATAAGCCAACACTGTTACTTTGAAACGTGATCTATTTCTACAATGAAAAATCATTGCTATTTTTTTATCTGTAGCAGATCTAATAAAATAGCATCTTCTTCAGTAAATTAAATTGGCTGCTAAATAAATTTGAATTACCAAGTAAACTTGAGTTACTCTTCCTGCCTATGTACTTCAAAAAACAGCCACATATTTTGTGTATCTGTCCCTCCACCTTCAGCTGTACTAATTCCCTCAGATAGCTCAGGCAGCTCTGGAGGATTTAGGAAGTTACAACATCCTAGCTCACTGCAAAGGCTGTTCACATCTGTCTCTTGATTCCTTGGCAGGGCACCATTATTGACAGCAAGGTCTCCTCTGCACTGAAGGCTTCATGGTGGTGCTCCCACCTGGACCCAGAAGTGCTCCCTGACACAGTGGGGCACTGGCACTAAGGGATCCATGTCTCAGGAATGAAGAATAGAAACAGCTGCTGGATAGGGAGTAAGTGGGAGAAACAGCTGCTGGCATAAAGTGCCACAGCCTCATGGAGCTGCCATGAAAACTGTCAACTCAAGGGCAAAATCTGATGTATTGCAATGATGCTAATAATAAAAATACAGAGGACTGCATTGTTTCAGCCCCTAAAAATGGCTTTGGTCAAGGCAAAGAGAATTTTGCAGGTTGCCTTTCATGTTTACAGAGTACACTGCCTGATCATTGTGCACAGAAGAAAAATTCCTGAAATATTTCCTATGGCTCAGTACCATGCAGTGTCCTCCAGATAAATGTCTGCAGAGCTCCTGTACTGTACTGGGCCAGACTCTTAGTTGGGAAAATTGGCAAAACACTGCTGTGTGAGGGGAAAGTGGGAGATTTGTAACAGCTGAAGAGCTGCACAATAATTTCTTGAAGTAAGAAATTATGCCTGTTTCTATGGGAAGCAGTAATTTACGTAATAGCTACACACACATGCATAGATGCCAATGCCAACATTTACATCTTTCACGCGTAACATATACACCACATGAGTCACAGAGCTCTCTCTGGAAGACTGTGTAATGTTGAAATAAGCAGCGCAAAAATAGGAATGCATTACCTCCAAAACAAGATGACTTCTCCCACCTCTTTCCCCTCTAAGTTCATGGACTACATGTTTCATCAGAATTCACTGTATCAGCCAGGATTAATCACCTTAGCCAGGAGCTCTACCTTGGGTTGAGTCTGACAGTCATTTTAAGTCTCCTACCTGAACTTTTGTGTAGCCTGACAGATGCTGAGTGTCCCACCTCCTTTCCTGAGTGTTCCTTATTTCTGACATAACATCAGCACTTCTGCAATGGAGGGGCTTCTGATCATGGTGGCCATCCCTTTTTCTGGCTTCTGTGTAAAACAAGACATGGTTTAGTTTCTACAGATACTTATCCAGCTCTTCTTGAGTATACTCCAGGTGTATGCCAACATTACTGGGGGAAGAAGAAGAGGGTGGCAGGGACAGTTTTCTTTTCCTCTCTTTCCTGGCTTCTTCCACACCTGGGTTTTGTTTCATTAGAAAAAGCATGATGATAATGGGAGATACCTCCATAATGGAAGAAGTCTGGGTTGTGTATCAGGAGCTGGTCATGCCTGTTGATGTACTCACAGGGAAGAAGCCAAATGGACCAAACACTACCAGTGGTCAGAACTCCCCAGCTGCCAGCATACACAGGAGTACTGGTGTCAGAAATCAAACCACTGGGGATGCCACAGCTGGATTTTCTAAAGCAACATGTCTTATAAACCTTCCACAGTTCTAAAGATTAAAGCAGCAGAAACAGTGAGGAGCATAAAAATTTTAGGCAGCTTTCTAAAAATTTTAGAAAGATACAAGATCATCTGGCACAGTTCTCTATGGTCTTAAAACAGCAGCATCTCTCCTCTTTTTTTTTGTTATGGAGCTGTAAGTTAATTGATCTTTACCTCTCCTTCCGTTAGAATTTTCCAGTTTCCTGAAGTGGTAAGTATTTCCTCTTTCTAATTCAAAGAAAAGTTAGGACTTCCCTCCCCAAATGAAGATAATGTGTTATCCTTTAGGAGTGATTGGATGCTATGTCCACAGCCTCAGCATTTAGAAAATTGAAGTGAGACAAGGTAGCATCAGTCACCTGAAACACAGGATCAGCAGGACCAATGCTGGCTTCTTTCTGGTCTTGGGAGAGGAAGTCCCTCCTGGGATTCTGAAAATAATTCCAGCTGAACTCTGTAGAGACCCCTTGGAGATTCTTTGTGGGCTGTTCCTTGGTGACTCTGCCCCCTGTTTACTCAGAGATGGGCAGCCCAAGGACCAATAAATGCATTTCTACTGACCAAGCTCAGGAGAAGGGGTTGGACAAATGTCTGATTAGTGCCCAGTGTCCAGGGTAGCAGCCAAAATGCCAACTGGGATGGGGACCAGCCTGTGGGGGGTGGGCAGGCCATGCCATGAAGGCAGGGTCTGCCTGGAATGGAATTGTATTTCCTAACCTTTTCTCAGGGGATCTGTTTATAGAGGAGGGTGCCAAGCCTAAAAGGAGCAGAGATCACACCCAGATTTCTGCTGCCTCTGTGTGCATTTTTGGTCTCACCCTGCCACAGAAATAACCCTAAAATACTTCACTTTGTTCCCAAAAGTGAGACATTTCCCCAGGTTTGCTGCAGTGAATGGTCTGAGACAAGTTACATTGTCTCTGTAACCCCCTATTCTCTTTAGAAGCTGATCCTCAGCTTTTAGTTCTCCAAGACTGATGCTGTGAAGTAAGTTTTGCTCTAGAAGCACTGTGGTACTTCCCATCCCCTTTTGCCTTGTCTTTAATTCATTCCTGAGCCCACAGCTGTGCTGGATACTTCTGTAAGCAGTTTGCTGCCTACAAGCCTGGGCCCGGCACTGCTGCTCTACATTTAGGTGGCCAGTCAGCAGAGAGATAGAGTATTCCTAGCCCAGTCACCCTGGTGGCACCAAATTCAAAAGCCACACACAAAGCTGAGGAGAGGATGCAGAAACAGGCAGGTCAGAATTGAGATCAACTTTTTATCAAAACTGAGATACATTCCTTAAAGCAAGAACAGTGGGTCAGAGATGTCCAGGTAGATCAGAATATCTCCCTTCTCCCTCACTGCTATACATCATTAATGCCTTGAGGCATAGACCAAACCTCCAGCCACAGGTATTACAGTTACTAGTAGAGCAAAGCCCTGATCCAAACCTGACACTGCTGTAATAAGAGACATCACTGAAACCCTAAAGAGCACTGAAATCCTAAAGAAAGAAATGCTAAAAGGGGAAAACACAGTGTTTAAAAACATCATTAAGACTGCACTGTGGCCTCTCTAAAAGAGGAAAGGATGGATGGAGCAGCCATGGAATTTCCTAACTTCTAATATCATTGCTTGCTTCCTTTCAAACAAATATAATACAGCAAAGCTTAAAAGTGAAGTACAGACTGCTGTAGTTTCAGACACCCCTTCAAGACACAATCACTAATGAAGTGTCTTGGGCACATCTGTCAAAAACTCAGAGGAGGCATCACCTTGACTATAAAATCAGCGAGCAGACAGAAAAAGGCAAAATGCTTTGTCCAAGATCCATGGCTGACTTATGGAACCAAGCCGACACGACACTCAGGAGGAACATGATGTATCACACTGATGAACATCTGCCTTCCCACAAACATAGATATAAGTCCTCCAGTAATGAAGGAACAGAAAAGGGAAAAGGAGCTGGTTTTACAGGTCAGCATTATTCAGACCTCTGGAAGACCAAAGGAGTTGTTCTCATATTAGAATGGAGTTTTCTCTGACCCCTTTGAAGATAAATGCTGGATTGGGTTACACCAAATATCCACCTCATTGGTATCTTTAGTTTAATTGTGAATGCCTAATGAACATGAGGTAACTATGTAAGAATGCTTTCCAGAATACTTCTGCAGCCTTCTGCAGCAAGGATTTTATAATATTTTAGCAGCTCTAGCTTTACCTGAGACATGACAAGGAAAAAAGTAACTATTTCTCAGACATCTCCTGCATAATCAGCCAGGGAAGCAAACAGCTGTAGCTCCAAGGTCATGTAGATGATGCTCTTGAATCTCAGTAAACAGCATGAAAACATGAAAAGCATGACAAGGACACAGCTTTTGTATGTTAAATGTAAAATCCGGGAAATAAAAAAAAAATACTGTCTAAGATTGTTCTATACATTCAAAGTAACAGCTGTGCTCCTTGGCAAATAAAGTGTGCCAATCTCAACTTCCAGTTTTCATCTACTGACTTACAAGAGACAAATTAATTTGTCCATGTTTCTCTTCATCACGTATATTACCTGTTTCTCCCCATCATATGTTACCCAGGTTCAGTTTCTTCTTATGCCCACACAGCAATTCTTTAAAATACTATTTTTAAATATTTACAATTTAAAAGAAATAAAAAAGTATTGTAGATGCAACTGCCTGCCATCAGAGCTTAGTAATAAAATTAATTTTTTAGAGCCACAATCAGGTTTTTAGTCTTTCACAGCCAATGTTTTTCACCATCTCTCATCTGCTCTCAGCATTCCCTGGAATCTGGCTACACTCCCATTTCCCACTTCTCACACAGGCTGACTGGACTATAAAAGGCACTGCTCCCTAGGGACAGACACCTGATACCATGTAGCCTTTCACAGCATTTCATATGCTTCATATGCTTGGGAAGATCTTCTGCATGAACTTAAGAGATGGGTTCAGTGACTCAAGCAGTATTGAGTGGAGACACACATTCAAAAAGCCAAAATTTAATACAAATCAAATGGAAGAGAGTCTTTGGGCTGTGACAGCTTATTTTATCATCACCCAAGGCTGGCATGCAGCTAATTTTCCCTCTGAGGCACTAGTGGTCGTAACTGAGCTACTAATAAAGTAAACTTTATTTAAGAGTTGATTGTACATCCTTCCTAGCTGTCCAGAACCTGGCTTCAGCAACAAAAAATTTCCCGGTTTTCCTGGAAACAACTGTCCTTACATCTCTAGGCTGGATTAAATCATGATGTGCAGTTTTATTCTAGGTCTGTACCTGTCAATGAAAGAGATGAATGAGCAAAAATGGGTCTCACTTTTCCCCAAAGACGCTGAGCTCGTGCTCCTCCATGTCAGGGATGCCACACTGCTGGTATTTGCTGGATGCCAGAAGCTGCATTCACACAGACTTGGGGAGTGGAAGCACCCAGCGATTCACTGCTCTGGATCTTGATTCCAAACCATTCCCTGCTGTATGCACTGCCACCTTAGCTGCTAGAAAGGCTCTGCTCTATTTAAAAGCAATGGGAGAAAGGGAAAAATCTCACAGTGTAGAAGACAGACTCTACAGTTAATGTCAATTCTACAGGAAAGAAAGCAGATCCTTCCACACTGCTCACCCCTTCAAAGGTGCCTTTCTCCGACGTGAGCACAGAGGAGCACTTTATGTAGGCTGAGTTTTGGGGTCATATGCATACTAGGCAGATCTGATTTAAACTTCTAGATAAGACACCCGGGAAGAAGATCCAGAGATTCATGCATGACATTTCCTACTGCCCAGCACCTTTCCACCATTCTTCAGTTTACAGGAGATCTGGCACAGTTTTAGTCAAAGTGACTTTTCTAGAAGAAATTAAAGTGAAATTCTTGGGGAGTTGTGAAATTGAATAAGCCTCTGTTAAGTGTCCTGTGTGACTCTGAAGAGGATTCTGCTGAACCTTGGCTTTTCCTGCAGGCTCCCAAGCACTTCCGGATGAACTGGCCATTCTTCTTGCGGATGCTTCCCTTCAACTCCACGATCCTGGCAGATTTTGCAGCTTAAAGAGGGGAGAAAAAATAAGAGACAATCAGTCATCTCATATAGCAAGGCCTCAGTCTGCAAAGTATAGGGCAGGATTGAAGCCCTTTCTTCTCCTTCTCACATGCAAAGTTCTCCTACCTGTTTCCATAAGCTTCAGCTCTCTGCACAGCTCCTCCTGCATCTTCTTCCTGTAGTCTCCAAACATGGCTCTCATGAGCTGACGCTTCTTCACCAGTGGAGCCTTGTCACTGCGCAGTGTCCTGATTGCCCTGAGAGCCTCCTCAGCTGCAGCAAAGGAGAAACAACACGGCACGTTAAGGCTCCCTGCTGGCTCTGTCCCTGCATTCCTGCCAATGCTGCCCCCAGGAAAGAATTCTTCTTTACTTCAATACTTACCCTGCTTTGGAGTGGGTTTCTGTGTCTTCAAGCCGAGTTCCAGCTGGTTCACACACCAGTCCACCTCTTTCCACAGCTGCTCATCTGACTGCTATCAACATGAGGCACATGAGCAAGAGGAAGTAAATCACCCAAAAATTACAGCAGCAGTTGCTACACAGGATGAAAGGGAACTCCATAAAGTCAGGACTAGTTGAAATACTATGTTCGGGTGATCATTTAATAGACTTCATGACATTTTCCCTCTAGTGTTTTTCATCAGATAAACGAAAAGCACTGTGCAAATGTTTAGTTGCAACTCACTGTCTCTATGAGATGGATTTAATGTGTGGCTGCCACTCAGAAGGCGCTGTTTTCTGGAAAGCTGTTCAGCTTTCAAAGAAACTTACAGACGGGAGAAATAAACATTAACAACAAAAAGCCCCTATCCTCAAACCTGCACAAAATTTAAAACAGCAAACAATGGGCAAAATCAGATGCTGAGTCTTTCTTCTCAGCTCCTCTGTGCTTGCTCAGCCAGAAATGCATGAGGGACAAAGAAAATGAAGCCCATGGAGATGAAGGAAGCCAAGCGCCATTGAGCAAACCAGCCGGCTAACTCAGCGGTGGGACAGGGAAACAGGGCTGCACCCTGGGACTGAAGCAATTCTTAACTGTTATGTACATGTAAATACAAATGCCCTCACAGTGTCTCCTTTTACCTACAACAGTCTCCTTCCAAAGGACTGGAAGGGCTTTACCTGACCTTCAACTCTTCCTATGTCTCTGGTGCTCAGCAGTGTTTATCGGTAGGACTGCAGGTGAAGCAGACTTTTGGATGAAATGTTCCAGAGGCAGATGAACACTCAGTGCAATTTCCTTGCAAAATATTAAGAAAATTAAGGTTTTGTGCAATCTTGTGTTATAGTATGGATCAGCTGGCACTGTTTGTTAGTAAAACCTACACCAGTGCTGAAAAGTGAAATAAAATTAAGACCTTGACCATAGCAGAATAGAAGACCTCAGGGTGTGCCTTAATGTTGTGTTTACACATAACCTGCAATTTCAGTTGATTTCTGGGCCATGCCCTACAGAGGAACCTTCTCGGAAGGACCCTTGAGCTCTGCCACGGTCCTTGGCTACACCAGGTGGCACTTCTGTGCCTTGGCTTTGCTCCTTGTACTATGAAAGCAATTCATCCTGCAACACACACATCAGAGCTACAGGGCCTGCCTCAGCACCCACAAGGCACCAGCTTGGCACAAACTAAAGACAGTTACCTCCATTTCCTGTTTTTATTTTCTTAAGAAAACATGGCATCCAGCTCCCCAGGATTAGCTGTCACAAGCCTAAACATGAAATCTTTCAGCACAAATCTGAAGGACCATTAACTTCCTTTGCTCTGGTCAGGTTCCTCAGCTGTGTAGCAGAGAAAGCAAACAGCTGCTGGAATATGTAAGCAGCAAATGTGGTCTTTCACCTTCCATCTCAAGGCAGTATGCTAATTGTTCATCTGTGCAAAGAGATAAAGTGTCTCTTTAGCTTGAGGGTTTATAAATAATGGGATTCCATCAGTATTTAATTACCTGAGAGGTCTCATCCTGATGGGAAGTATCTGTATTTTTACAGCTGTTAGCTTCCGCCTTTGCCTTCCTGCTGGTCTCAGTTTCTTCTGTTTTGTTTTTACTGACAGGTGCTTTTTGTTTCTTCTTTTTTTTCTTCTGGGCAGCTCCACCTCCTGTTGATTTCTCTGTCATTGCCTCACCTGCAGGGGCTGTCTCTGTTTGGGGGATCTTTGATGTGACATGGCTTCTATCCTCTTTGGGTGCATTCCCTGTCACTCGAGTCACCTCAGGCTTCTGCAAGGCTGCAGCCTGTGGCAGAGCTGCTGATTCAGCAGGCAGTGAAGAATCTGCTGTGTCCTCTGTATGTTGGCTTCCTGGAAGTAATTGAAGATGAGGACAGTCTTCATCTGGGATGGCAAAGTTGAAAGCAAACTTGGGTTCTTGTCCAGAGGCAGCAAACCTCAAGGGGCCATTCCAGTTCTCCTGCTTGGTGGCTCTGACAGTGTTTTGTACCTGCTCAGCACCACTGTCACCACAGTCAGCTTCTGGGTCGGTCTTGGAAAGTGTAAAATCAAATCGGAAGCTGCTGCCAGATGATGTGAACAACTCAGGCTTTGCCTCAGGGGTTGGGTCAGACTGTTTCACACCATCTGCAGTCTGCCCCTTGCTTGGCTGTACTTCCACTGCGTCAGGGGTCATGCCTAGAAAAGACAAAGAATATTGTTTCAATACTGGTGTTATCAATGAACCAGTTTCCTACCATGGGGTGCCACTGCAGTTTCCACTCTAAGGCACTGCCAGAGAGGTGACTCAATTAATGCTGCAACCTAAGAAATCTACAGAAAAGAACCAAATCTCACCATCCCCCGAGAGACAGCTGAAGCTCACCTTTCTCAATGCTCTTCTGACCCTCATCCATCTTGAGATGACAATCCCCAAACTCATTGCTCATCACTTGTTGCTTCTCTGCGAGAGGAGTCGCAGGGGAGTGCAGGTCCTTGAAAATGTGTTGTTGGGTCTCCTCTGCTGCACTCGGAAAACACCAAGAGAGACAAGAAGCAGTTTACAGTGGGCCTTAAAATCCACACAGTGGGATGCTGATGAGTGACTGTTCTCTTAATGTGCTCTGTGTTCATATCACCTCTAACTAATCCATAACTAGCATTCAATTGAAAGGGAACTCCAAGTGCTTCCAGAAGCTCAAATACTGTGACATGTTCCTGCAGAGAGGGGAAAAAAAAATCTTAACTTATTACTTACAGTCAGACTCTTACACTGCAGTAAGTGCACTGCTAATGGCACAGAAGCTACAGAGGGCTTAGCAATCTTTCCCTCAAGAGAAGACAAATTCCAGAACCTAACTCAGTGTCTCTTCTCTGGAAAACTGGAAAAAATCTAAATAGAAGGCATACCCTGAAAAGCAGGACTCTTGCTCTTGCTTACAAACCAGCCTGAACACAACAAGAATCCAAAGCTTTTGTGTTAGAACAAATTCTCTAAAAAACAGAGTTGTTCTGTGACAGTGGTCCCCAAGACCTCAACTTGGAAGCACTAAATATAGTCTTGCAGTATTTGTCCCACTTATTTTAAGCCACTGAACAACTTGAGAGTAGTACTGTGGAATGGGAACCTTCCACCTCTCCCAGCTGCAGCACCTGACCATCCTCTCAGAAAAGAACCTTTCCCTAATCCAGTCTAAAAATCACCCCCTAACACAGCTCCAGCCATTTCCTGGGCCCTGTCCCTGGTCACAGAAAGCAGAGATCAGAGCTGCCCCTATGCTGCCCCTCAGGAGGAGCCACAGCCCCAATGAGCTCTGTGTTCCATCTCTTCTCCTCCAGCTGAACAGGCCAAGTGCCCTCAGCTGCTCCTCCTATGGCTTCCCCTTGAGACCCTTTCCCATCCTCATATCCCTCTCCTTGGACACTCAAACAGTCACAGACCCTTCTGATATTGTGGTGCCCCAGCACTGGAGGTGAGGCTGCCCCAGGGCAGGGCAGGGTGGGACAATCCCCTTCCTGTCTCAGCCAATGCTGAGCCTGATGCACCCCCAGCCACGGTGGGACAGAAGTGAGATGTACCTTCACAGCATCTGGTGTCAGGGTCCTGACTACATGAATTCCTGTTTCAAGGGGTTTGGCTAGCTGCAATCCAGGCCAGTTACACAACAAGAGCTAGAGAAAGCTCCAGGGAGCTGCTTCCCTCCTTCACCTGGGAGTTACTCTAAGCTGAGTACCTCATGCATACAGTGCTACACCCAAACAACTCATTGATTCAGACCCTGAATTCCTGGCTAGATGTTGGATCAGCCTCCTCACCAGACTTCTCCAGCAACTGGGACTCCAGGCAGAGCCTGGGTACCATCAGCAGCACTGCTGAGCTCTCTTGGCTCACATACTGTTCTGGCCAGGGCACTGCTTCTGCTGCCTCTTTCCTGTGCTCAGCCCCTGCTTCCCCTCCAGGAGCTGCCTTCCCTCCTGCTGGGCACTGGGGACCAGTACAGGACACATTTCTAACAAAATGGTCTGATCACAGAATAGCTTGGGCAGAAACTTCAAAGCTCAACCACTCCTGCCATGGGCAGGGACACCTTCCACTATCCCAGGTTCACCCAAGCCCTGTCCAGCCTGGCCTTGGACACTTCAGGGATCCAGGGGCAGCCAGAGCTTCTCTGGGCACCCTGTGCAAGGGCCTCACCACCCTCACAGGGAAGAATTCCTTCCTAGGATCTAAGCATTATCTCTGGCAGTGGGAAGCCATTCTCCCTTGTCCTGTCCCTCCATCCCTTGTCCCAAGTCCCTCTCCAGCTCTCCTGGAGCCCCTTTAGGCACTGGAAGGGGCTCTGAAGTCTCCCCAGAGCTTTCTCTTCTCCAGGATGAACAATCACAACCCTCTCCCAAAAGCCTTAATTTTTCCTGGAGCCTGATGCTCAAGCACAAGGTGTAGGCACCTGTCAGTCACTGCTCCATCCTCAGGTGGACCAGCAAACACTCACCTGAGCATCTTACATAGGGTTCATAGTCCTCTGCCAAGGTTAGGTACTGACCAGCAGCAGGACATGTGTCGGCAGCTCTACAAATTGGATTAACGAGATCAAACTATGACCTTATAGAATTTTATCTTCCGTGTAATTTTTCCCTGGAACAAGCTTTACAAAAATAAACCTACTGGTGTTTGAGGGCCAGACATGCTGGCACAGTATTTCCTTAAGATGAAAAACAAAGACAGAGCTGTAGCAGAACTAAACAAGTCATTATATGGGAAAAAAAGAACATGACAAAGAATACAGAAAACAGGGAGAACAAACACTAAATGAATGAAAGATAAAAACTGCTTCCAGAAACACAATCCTTAAAGCCCAATATTGTCCTGTGTTTAGAACAAATCCCAAATAACACAAGAACAGGGAATATAAAGGAGAGAAGAAACAGAAAAACATACACATCCGCTAAATCACACCCAAGACCAGAATAGGGGGGATGTGGGTTGATAAAGAGGAACATACCTAGTTTGGGGTGTGGAGTGAGATGGAGATCTGCCTCCAGTTGTGAAATGCACCACTCCAGCTCCTCCTGAAACACACCTTGGGGAGCCTTGGACATCGTGTGGGGAAGGCAGAATGATTAGAAGCACAAATCTCTCACCTCCAAAACTGAGTTTTCTGAGGCCTCCCTTCTCACAGGAGGTCAGACCTGGCTTTTACATTGGAAGTGTGCTGTGTAACAGTTCATTTATACCATAAATCAACACAGCACAGGGACACATGTCCTGTGTGGAGAGCACCACATGAGCCCTCTTCATTACAAAAATTACAGCTCTTACTAGCAGGAAACCCTACTACTCCCGGCAAGCCAGGACTTCCCACAGATTTCTTTTTCATCTTTTTCTCCACTTGTCCCTTTTTAAAAGCCCCAAATGGAAGATTTCTCATTTTTTTCCTGAAGCTTAGGCAATGGCATAATGTCTCCACAGCAGGAAATTTCCCTTTAGCACAGCTCTGGTAACACGCAGAATTTGTCTTTAGCCTAAACACAAGCCCTTGAGACCCCATGTGCTATACTTCTGCGCTGGCTGCCTCTCGATAAGCAGGTGGAAGTTAAGGTTTGCAGCCCGCCTGGGGACAAGGCACACTAAAACACTAGGAACGAAAAGAATGCTCAGGATAAGGAGACGAGCAGGGATTGGGAAAGGCACCAGAGCTGGGAAAGCCTTTAAGGAGAACCTGCGGGAGCTGGGCCCGGGCCCGGTGCGGTGAGAGGTGCTGGGCGCGGGCCGGGCCTTACCTGCTCCATGCCGGGCTCCCCGCGCCGCCGCCGGAGGAAGCGGCCCCACCGCACCGCCCACCTCCGGTCACGGGCCTCGTGTGGGCGCTGGGAGCAGCCTCGCCCGGGCCGGCACCACCAGCTGGAGCTCGGGGTCCGCTCTGGGCCTCTCGGAGCCCCCCGGATCCTCCCCCGGCTGCGGGCTCAGGGCGGGCGGGCCGGGCCGGTGCGCGCCGCGCTCAGCGCTCCGGCCGCTCCCCGCACTGCCGCTGCCGTTCCGCCCGAGAGCGCCGGGCCCCACGGGCCGCAGGCCCCAGCGTCCATCTTGGCCGCGCGTTTGTGACCCCTGCGCCTCCCTCCTGCTCCCCTGAGCCGCGCATTGTGCCGGACACACGTGTGCCCACGGAGCGGGCCGCGGGTATCCGGCGTTGCCGCCTTCCCTGGGCCAAATCCCCGCAGGAGCGCCCATACCAGCCCCGGCCCCTCGCATGCCAGCCTGACGGAGGCCATGCCAGCAAGCACCAGGGCAGGCAAAAAAAGGTTCATACACACCTACTGGCACTGTCTAATCCCATTCCTGGTTTAGATTTCTTTTTGATTATTTAATTTTGTAAATAAAAAGTTAGACACCTTGTTTCATAGGCATTTTTCCCTATTGGATTGTTTCCAACAACAGCCAGATGATCCCCGTGAGGTCAGTACTGCAGCAGCACAGCGTGTAACTGCACAGGGTGTGGTGTCTCTCAAATGCTTCAAACCATGGAGGTTATAATTTTTCTTGACATTGGCAGTTGATGTTAGAAATTCTCCAAGGCTGACAGAAGGGCTCTAAAGTGCTGGGGAACCACTTTGAAATGTTGCTGCTAAAGATTATAAAATAGTACTGGAAAAATCGGTACATTTCTGCCAATCCCAACCTGACTTCTGTCTGCCTTACAATCTCCACCCTCACTGAGACTTAGCCGTTGTCTGAGCCCTCTCCTCATTACAAAAAACACCTCAGTGGTCTGAGCCCTAACCATGGTTGTCTTGAGACTTTATCTCGAGGCTTATTCTGAGTGGTTGAATAGGGTCGAAATTAGCCTTCATATACAAGTGTCCCAGCATCAGGAAAAAATCTGACAGTCAAGTATTGGAGAAGATAATGAGCACAAAATAATGAGTTATCATATCCATCTTGAAAGGCCAGAATCCCACCGCAGTTTTCCTCTCCCTCAGTGCCTGGAGCTGGACTGAAGGCTTGTGAACCTGTCACCACCAGTCTGGCTGCATCCCCTAAAGCAAAGTTTTCCATCCATAGCCTGAGGAATGAACAAACCCATCAGGCGATGCAAAGGCTCTTCTTGGTATGGCTGGCACAGAGCCTGCAGAACCCATCCAGATAGAGCAAGGAGTGAAAGGAACATTGTTTTATGTGGTAGAATGCTGTTCATATCTCCAGCTCTGTAGACTCAATGCCCATGCAGGGTAAAGGCACAAAGGACCAGCAATGCCTTGGTATTCCTGGGTTTGATCTCTGCCCTGAGGATTCAGCCTCACAAGGACACCGACTAAGCGAGCTGTGGCAGCCTTGCTCTGAGGACACACAACAGAAGGGCTGTCAGGAGATCCAAATATGATCCTCAGCTTCTGCTTACACAACAGAAACCTTGTCATGGGAAGAGCTGTGAACTGAGCTGGTGGAAGCTGATGTCTAACAAGTCATGGCTGCCTGGGAGCAAAGCAAACAGCAGGCAGAAGAATTGTAATGGCTTGAGCCTGCCTCAGGTGTAGAGCAGGTTTGTGTGTGCTGTATAAACTGTGCAAAGGCTGGGACAACTCCTCACTGCTGTCAGATGGTGATAGGAGCACCTGTCTGGGGGCAGGACAGCTGTGCAGTTCTGTAGGTCACTCCAGGACTGGCATTCCTTGCCAGCACAGAGCTGCCTTCTTTCCCCATACCACCAACTGAGCACCAACAAATTTGTAGCAGGCATGGCTGTAACTGGAAGCTGGAAAATGCAGCTCTTTGGTATGAGGCTCCTTTGAGAGAGTTGCAGGAAAGAATTGGGAAAAAAAACCAAAAGAGAAAAGTGGGCTGGTTGCCAGAGCTGCTAACCACAGTGCCAGTGAGCCTTGGAGGGCACTGGGACAGCCCAGTGTCACATGCCCGACACATCCTGTCGCCAGACTTCCTCGCCGGCAATGTACGTGGCTTGCACATACAGGCTGTCATTCAACATTAGGAAATCTGTGTTGGACAAGAGAGAAAGAAAGCAGCTGTCAGAATGGAGCTGCTGGAGTTGGCTGGGGAGAGCTGAGATCATTGGGGAAGGACTTCTCCCCACCCCAGGATGGCACTGCAGTGCAATCCTGGCAATGGCAACTCTGCTTTCTGCTCAGCTGAGATGTGGGGGGCACTCCAAAGGGTTTCCCAAACACCACCAGCATCCAAGGGAAAAACCATTGGAGCAAAAGGGAAAAACCACTGGAGCAAAAGCCTAGAACATATCCCAGGTGGAGCAAGTCTCCCTGCAGCTCTCACCAAAACAGGGGATGAGCATATGTACACAAAGCAGCCCCTGCTTTGCTCCAGCACCCCTGACACTATTGTCTCCATACCAGTACGTGCTGTGCCCACACCAGTACCTGCATCGGAGTCATAATTCAGTGTCCCCTTTTTATGTTCAATCCCCAGGAGCTGAGCGGGATGCAGAGACGCCGCCTCCAACGCAGTCTCTACCGAGCACCCTTGGACAGAGAATTTGGGAGATGTTAGGGCAGCCAGAGCCCCGTTGCCAGAGCAGCCCAAATCCCCCTGGACAAGGCAACACCCAACCAGGCAGTTGACGGACCCAAGCTGGAACACCCTCAGCACAGCCAGCTGGAGCTGGGAAGGGAGATATCCCTACAGGAGAGAGCAGGCATAGGAAAACTGAATACCTAGGGTATGGAGAAGAGAAAACCATGCACTTTTGTGAGGAAGAAGCAGGAGAGTTCACCTCTCATTAGTTCTATTAGTTCCCCCTCAAAAAGGGGTTCATCTGAGGGCACTGATCCCAGCCCTTGCCATGTCTCAGGTGAGAGGGAACATTCCTGGTGAAATGGACACATCTGGCAAAAGCAAGACCTCCTCCCGTGTCAACATAGGGAGCAGCAACTTGTGGACAGGGCTCTCTTACCTGTGGCTTCTTGGAAGTGTCGCACACAGGTGTCCATGGTCGCCACGCTGCCACTCAAGGTCTTTGTGCCTGGGAAGAAACAGGATGGCACTGAGCAGCGCCCATAGCTCACAGCAAGAAGCAGGGCACGAGGGAAGCATAATGGGACCAGAAGTGCAGAAGTCCTGTGTTGCAGGAGGAGCAAGCTGAAGAGTCTGCAGCCACTTCCTACTGGAGCACAGGAAGAGGTATGTGGGTGTTATCCCCAGCTCCACTATCAGACCAGCTGGACTAGGTGAAACCAGCTCACAACACAGGCATCTGCTGCCAGAGGAAGGGAATGGAGAAAGGAATGCTCCTTCACTGAAATACCATCCCAGTCTTCATCTGCTTGGGAATTTGAAACTTAGGGAATTTAGCTAGCAGGAAGTGGTAGTGTTATAATGAAGAAAAGGGACAATAAATATCTCTAAGATTTCTCTGTCCTTACTGATAACCTGAACCTCTAGCACCCTTGACATGGGCAATGAAGCTTTCTTTCCAAGATGTTGCAGACAGCTAGAACTGGCCAGATTCCTCCACGAGGGTGGCACACTTCTCTTCTTTACCAGGAATTTCATTATCCCCAAGGCCAAGTCACTGCAGATCCACCAGGCATCAAAACCCAAGAGAGTGGCACAAATGCTGCCACACACCAACAGGGACAACAAGGCGTGCTCAGCTCCTCAGGAATGGTGCCAGTGGCAGAACTGTCCCCGGCTCTCCAGCAAGGGGGACAGCACTTACCTGCAATGTAGGTGTTCAGCCCATCGATCTCCACTACCTGCTGACCCAGTGTGTGCCGACCCGGTGCCAGCCCCATGCCAGCAATTGCATCTGTCACCAGCACCAGCCCTACGGAACACAAGGAAAGGGGCCTTGTCAACACTGCTGCTGATTTTGCTGCAGCTCCAAGCACTGTGCTCTGTTGACCCTCCCAGAGAGGAACCAGGTGTCTCCAGCCACATCGCACCAAAGCAAGAGGACTGAGGGATCAGCACATGTGGCTGTGACCTTCCAGACAGCAAGGGCAGCACAAATGTCTTCTGGGAGATGGTGCAGTGCTTGCAGTGGCTGGTAACACTGTGGGGACTGCCATGGCTCACCTTTGGGGTGGGCTCGGTGGGCAATGCGCAGGGCAGCGGGGTTGGTGTGGATGCCATCAGAAATCATGCCATAGAAGACCCTCCGCCCAGCAGGAATCTTGTCGCTTGTCAACAGCCCCACAATGCCAGGGTCACGGTGGTGGAACTGCTCGAGGGGAAAGAGGGGACAAGCTGTGGAGGACCAGGACACACTGGCTGAGACTTCAGGGGATGCAGCTGCCATCTCTATCACACAGTGCCTGGCAGCTTTACCAGGCAAACCTGGGCATTCCCTTGAATCACAGAATCACAGGTTGGTTTGAGTTGGAAGGGACCATAAAGCTTATCTTGTTCCAACCCCTGCCCAACATTGGCAGTGTCACTTTCCACTATTCTAGGGTGCTCCAAGCTCCATCCAACCTGACCTTAAATGCTTTCAGGGACAGGACAGCCACAGCTCCTCTGGGTGCCAGGGTCTCAGTACCCTCACAGCCAACAATTTCTTCCCAGTATTCCATCTAACCCTGCCCTCTAGCAGTGGGAAAACATTCTTCCTTGTCCTGCAACTTCAGGCCTTTGTCCAAAGTCCCTCTCCAGCTCTCCGGGAGCCCCTTTAGGCACTGGAATGGGCTCAGAGGTCTCTCTGGAGCCTTCTCCAGGTGAGCAACCCCTTCTCTCCCAGCCTGGCTTCAGAGCAGAGGGGCTCCAGCTCTTGGAGCATCTCTGTGGTCTCTTCTATACTCACTCC